AAAAAAAAAAAAAAAAAGACTCTGTCCTACACACACTGACACAGATATACACACACGTACACATTCTAAGCATGGATCTTCCTTTCAGTTTTGTTAAATTCTCATTTTTCTCTCTGACATTTCCTTTAGATTCAAAGCCTGTGCAAATTTCATGGCTACACAAATTCCTTCATGTGTCTAAAGAAAGCAACAGAAATTTAACCCAGTTAGAAGACATACAATTTTCAAGGTCAAATTGGTAAGCTGCCTCAAAAGGAGGGAAGAGCCGATTTCAAGAACATTCTGCCAGCTGAGGCCCCGAGGAGAGCCTACCTTGCCAGCAGCAAACAAGTGACAGCCCTTCACGGCTTCAAAAACGTTGGGTGAGATGTCGGGCTGGGCGGGAAGGTGAGCCTGCGCCAGGGACTGCTTCACTTTCTTCACGTCAACAAGGCACAGAGCTCGCTCTTCTCCTGAAGGGAAAAGGAAGAGCTTCACGGTCAGTGTGAGGCAGGGAAGCAAAGGTGCAGGATGGCAGTTCTACTTCTCTTCACAAACATCCACGCGGGGCCATGCAGGTCAACAGAGTTTCCCAGACACTCCTGTGTACACAGCTTAGGTCCAAGTTTCAGATCTAAAATGAAAACATCTGGCCTCTTGGTCAAGATTCTGGGATGAAAAGAAAAATTCTGCCGACATAATCAGAGAATGTGAACTATACTTTCAAACACATCTTTCAGTGAAGATGAGGATGGGTTAGGAACACAGAGGGGACATTTTATGAAATGACAGGCTCGGACCGTTCCGATAGGTCAGTGTCATGGAGGACCAAAGGAAGGCCAAGGATGCATTCCAGATTAAAGGAGACTAATGGGACACTACTAAATGTAGTGCACAATCTGGGACTGGATCACAAATCAGGGGGGAAAATACCAGAAAGGATGTTATTGGAGCCGCAGGTAAATTCTAACTATGAGCAGTGTGTCAGACAACTGCATTCCAACGAGGGATAAATTTCCTGAATCCAAAAACGGTGCCACGTGAAACTATTCTGTGTGATACTATGACAGTAGACCCATGCCACTACACGTTTGTCCAAACCCACCAAGAGTGAACCCTCACGGACACTCTGGACCCTGGCTGATGATGTGTCACTGCAAGTTCATTAGTTATGTCCAATGTCCCACTCTAGTCGGGGATGCTGATAGTGGGGATGGAGGGATACTGGAACTTTCTGTCCTTTAAGCTCAATTTCACTGTGAACCTAAAACGCTTCTAAAGAATAAAGTCAAGTAGGAAGGGAGGAAGGTAGGGATGGAGAGAAAGGAAGGGAGGGAGGGAGGGAAGGAAAGGAAGGAAAGGAAGGAAAGGAAGGAAAGGAAGGAAGGCAAGCAAGCAGAAAAACAAAAGAGGCAAAGAGAGTCAGTGTTGAGAGCCAGTTCCTGACCATATTATTTCAGCCACGCCCAAAACAAGACCTGACTGTGGATGTTTTTGAACATTGAGCCAACAAATTACTGTTTTCCATTAAAAAAAAAAATAGTACTGCCAATAAAGAGAGAAAAAATTTTTTGCCATGGTTATGTGAGACAATGCCCATGTTCGTAGGTGATACGGTGAAGAATTTGGGGTCACAGCTGCAAGGGACTCTCAGACGGCTCAAAAGTTAGTGTGTGTGCGCGCACGCATGTACGTTTGTATAGGAAGAGAGAGAAAATATGGCAAAATGTTAACCAGTGAACAGATGAAGTGTTTCTGAGGGTCACACAGAAATAAGAGGCAACATGCTAACAGGCAGGCTCTCAGAAGGCCATGGCTCAAGGTGGCATTGACCTCGCCACGACGCTGGCGTCAAAGCGTCTGATGTTACCAGGACTCTGAGGCTCCTACTCTTCCCCTGGCTGAATGGTGAAGTGTTCTCTGGGGGTGTCAGACTGTACTGCACTGGCCACCAGGGGAATGAATCTGGGCAGAGAGCGCCATCAGCTTGGGCACCAGCAGGGACACGGGGGAAAGAGCCGCTTCTGCTCCCATCTGCCTGCAGGAGGGCCTGCCTTTGTGTTTTGCAAGCGTGACACTGGCTTTCAGGTAGTTTCCCTCGACGGTGAAGAGAAAGCGCCATGTCCTTGGCCTACCACCTGCTATCATGAGTAGCTTCTCCAGGTCCTTGATGATATAAATTTGGAAGACTGCTCCGATTCCTGGGACATGGGTGAGGGAGTTTTTCAAGACATTCAGAGCGTAGAGCCCTTCCTCAGTGCCTACCAACACCACCTGCAAGGAGAGAAGGTCACAAGCACAACATAAGCATGATCACATCCCGGGGACAACCCCATCAAGGAAGAGCCCTTTCTTTCTTGACTGCAGGGGGTGGCTACTGCCAGTGTCCAGAGAACAGTGCTACCTGGTCGCTGAAGGGCAGTGTGCAGTTCATGTCTAGACGGTCATCACCTTCCAGTTTCAGCAGGGAGTTTCCAAGCAATTTCTTTTTGTATTGGAACAAATTTTAAAAAGAAGAAAGGAAAAGAAAAAAACAAGGACATGGTAAGATGGAACTGTTCATGACCAAACCATCCAGAGAGATAAAAGCAAGAACAGAGAGAAGTTTGGTGCCAAGAAGGAAGGTTACTCATGAAAATGCCAGAAACACACATTTGGTCTTGGCTTGCCCCCTATTTTCATCTGAGCTCAGAAGGCAAAACATGAATGTTACTGCTTATCTCTGGGGTGGTTGTTAATTAGCATCAAAGTAATGCCTCAGCTTGATGCAGAAATAAAATAGATGTAGAGAGATTTTCTGTGGTAGGAAATAAGCTGAGGCTAAAGAGATTCCACCTGCAAAGGGTTAATAAGCCACATGGAAGGCTCCTTCCCCTCCAGGCTGCAGCAAAAGTACAAAGCACAGTGTCAGCACCAAAGAAGCAAGCTTCTGAATCTCTTTACCTGAACCCACGCAGGCAGAAGCTCATAGGAAATACAGTCACGGCCCTATTGTACACATAGTAACATGGATTTCAATAACAGTCTCACACAGGTAACCACAAAATAAGTCATCAAATCACTGGTCCACCCGGTGAGCAAAGCTCCGATAAGGAGGCTCATGGTTAAGAAGTTCACCATTGTGAACTGTGACGGTGCTTACTAGGAGCCCAGCGTTTGGTCTTTGGTGGAGAAAACACCAATGAGCAAGGAGCCCTGTTTATATCCTGGAAGTTTCCAGGAGGAGTGATGCCAATCAAGGCACACCTACAGTTCCAACATCTTAAGGGTAAGTAGGAATCCAAACCTGCCTACAGAAGAGCAGTTCGTGTGGAAGGTACGAGAAGGTTATGAAAAGCCTTCCCGAAGTTGGAATGGCTGTCGGCAGACTTTTGTGCTGCTTCACAGCCAAGCGCTTGCAAATAAACTCATCAGAGTAAACGAGAAAGAGGATTTCCATATGAGTACATTTGCTGCCGTGACCAAGATCAATCGCCGCCCCAAGAGCTGGCTAACGGCACTGACTGCCTCATTCTAAAGGGCCGCCAGGGGAGGGTGTGTGACACCAGACAGACCGCGTACAGCCTGTATCTCAGTGACACAAGAGTCCCAGTCATGACAGTCTCAGCCATCCCTCCCCCGGAGAGGCGGCAAGAGGGGCCCCACCACTCAGGTCAGTTCCCAAGTCAGCCCACTTTACAAAGAGAGACTCCAGCTCCTGCCTCCATACTCACAGCATCAGCTTCTGCTTTTTCCCTAGAAACTCTCCCACCTGCGACCACAGACTCTAAGGCGGTGACCCAGCGCTGTTTGTCGGGGAAGCTGGGAGCCAGCAAGTAGAGCGTTCTCCCGGGCCAGCAGGTGGTGTGTGGGTGAGACTCCATCTTCAGTATGTAGGGGACATCTAGGGGATGGGACAGAGAGCAGGGGTCCGCTGTGCATTCCTCTCACTCTTGGGAGGGATGGCCCTGAGGTGTCAGACATCGCCCAGGCATGCAAGTCCTAGACCCCACTAAAAAGGGGGAGCCAAGGAGGGCACCCCCTCCTCCCCCTGCTGATTCATCCAGCCCAGTGCCCACCCCCACCCTCACCTCCCCACCCCACCCCACCCCCTGCCGTGGGTTCTCCAGCTTCCGCTCACCTGCTTTGGCTGTATTTGCAAGCTCAGAAGCACCAACGGCGCCATGAATAGATACATCCCCGTCGGGAAGGCACAGCTCAAATTCTTCCACCGGCCTCTGTCCAGCTTGGTGCAAAGAGGAAGGGCAGAGAGAAAACCAAAAGAACAGGAACAAGAACGAGGGGAGAAGAGAGGAAGAAAGAAACAGAGAGAGAGAGAGAGAGAGAGAGAGAGAGACAAGGCAAGAGAGACAGAGTATGCGTGGAAAGAGAGGCGCACGAGAACAAAGGAGGAGGGGAAAAGGTGTGCAGAGAAGGCGGAGAGGGAAGATAAAAACAAAATAAAGTGTGTCAGATGAGTAGCACAGTCAAATTTCTGCTGACGATGCGGATTTATGGGCTAGTTGACTGAGGCAGAAGTTCTCTGAAGGTGTATTAGCAGGTAGGATCTTCAGGGCAGCACCCTGCAGGTTCCTCAGAGGGAAGACCTATAGACGTGAGTATCGTACCAATAACCTTTAGCGAAGTCATTTGGTTTTTAATTTTCAAAAATGGAAAATCGTAGAAGGCTTGCAACGCAGTTGGAAAAACAAAGCCTTCACGCCAAGACTGGGAGACCTGGGTCAACCACGTGCAATGAAATTCCCCCTGAATTCTTAATTTACCTTCTCTGGCTTCGCTGTCATAAATGAGGACTTTAGATCCCTCCAGGACAATGTACTTCCTGTCCCAGCCTTGCTGTCCTCGTTTGTTATTCCTGGGGATATAGGGATGGATAAGAACATAGGTTTAGACTCAGGAGGGAAGGAGGGACGGGGAATCCTAGCCACAACGCTTCCCTAGGAAACCTCAGGAATGGAAGTGCCTGTGCCATCCATGTATCAGGGGAGGCAGAGCTTCCTTCTCCCCTTGTGGGTTCTGTGGCTGGCCTAGGCATTCCACTGGTATCAGACGAACAAGAGATAAGCATACAGTTTTTATTTTATGTGTGTGTACCTGGAAATCTCCATAAGAAAATAAAGACCCAAAAAGCAGATAGGCCTAGTGTTTGTATACTAGCTTGAACAAAGAGTAGTGGTTATGAAAAAGCAACTAAAATGTATGGGGAGGCTAAAGGAAGATAAGGTGTTACTTTAACAAGGCTTATCTGCAGAGTTTTGTCTACAAGCCTTGCCTCCCTGCTTCTGGTGAGAATATTTCTTTCCTCCTGGAAAAGGGAGGGGTGCTCTTACACGGGAGATTTATCTCCTGCTTTCAGGAAGAGAAAGGGGAGGTCAGAGGGGCCTTCTTAGACCTGCTGTTTCTCAAGTGCCTTTGGCTCAAAATAATCCTGGTTCCAAAGTGGCATATTTTGGGGTGGCATCTTCTCCGGCACATGCCCCAGCCCAAGCCACCCTGTCACAATACCTGGGCACTTTCATCCACCCTTCCAGGTGCAGGCCGCTGCTGGGCTCCTTGGTCTGGAGACCCGGGGAGTTCATTTTGTCACGGCAGAAGGCCTCGGTGAAGTGCGTGGCATACTCGGCTGGCAGGCCACAGGTGGCTGGCAAGCACGTAGAGCACTTGGGATGACACATCACCTGACATTCTGGGGAAAAGCAGTTAACAACCTGAAAACACCTTGTCGAACCCTGGACAATTCCTCTTTCTGCCAGCCAAGCCCCAGCCAGGGCCCATCGGTCAGGCCCCATCACCCAGGTAAATCCCTAAGCTTTCGCAGGAGCCAGGTCCTCCCTACAGAGAGAGGAAACATGAGAGCCAAGCGCTCTCCACCCAGTTGTCCTGGCTTCTCCCCAGGCCGCCACAAACAGGCGTGTAGAGGACCCACCGGCAAGGTTCAGCTGGAGCCAGCACCCAGCCTAAAGGTGGGGAAAGGGAAGCCTGGCAAAACGGGAGGGCTGGAAATCAGCAAAGTGCAAGGCATTTTGCACACGGGGGGTGGACACGTGAGCTGGAAACACATATAAGCTCTCTCCTTCAACGGGAAAAGTAGCGTCCTCCCACTGGAATGAAAAGCTTCAAAATGAATGCGCTATATGGTAAAACATTTTTAAAGGAAAAAACCCACACCCATCAGATGGATTTGTTTAGGGGGAGACATGCAGGTGCCCACGGCAAACGCACCACTGCTTCTCTTACCAAGACACTTGGATGCCTGGCGCCCAAAGTGCACAGTATCCAGACACACAGCGCACTTTGTGGCTCGCATGTTCAATCCTACGTTAAATCGGTGAGGAATATTGTGGTGCATGCGCTCCTTAAGACGCCGACTGAATTCTGAAGGAAAATGTTTAAAAATTCATTAGGTGCTGCAAATGATACCGTCAAGAAAGTAAAAAGACAACCCACAGAATGGGAAAGGATATTTAGAAATCATCTCTCTGACAAGGGGCTTGTAGCCAGAATATATAAAAAGCTCTTACAACTCAATAATAAACAAGACAACCCAATTTTAAAATGGGCAAAGGATCTGACTAGAAGATAAGTAAATGATCAATAAGCACATGAAAAGATGGTCAACATGTTTGGTCATTAGAAAAACACAAATCAGGGGTGCCTGGGTGGTTCAGTCAGATGAGCATCTGACTTTGGATCAGGTCATGATCTCACAGTGCGTGAGTTCGAGCCCCATGTCAGCCTCTGTGCTGACAGCTCAGAGCCTGGAGCCTGCTTGGGATTCTGTGTCTGTGTCTCTGTCTCTCTGTCTCTCTCTCTCTCTGCCTTCCCCCGCCCCCTCCACTACCCCTGCTTGTGCTGTCTCTATCTCTCTCAAAATAAATAAACTTAAAAAAAAAGAAAAAGAAAGAGGGGCGCCTGGGTGGCTCAGTCGGTTGAGCGACCGACTTCAGTTCAGGTCATGATCTCACGGTTTGTGAGTTCAAGCCACGCGTCGGGCTCTGTGCTGACAGCTGGGAGCCTGGAGCCTGCTTCAGATTCTGTGTCTCCCTCTCTCTCTGCCCCTCCCCCACTCATGCTCTGTCTCAGAAATAAACATTAAAAAAATTTTTTTTAAAAGAAAGAAAGAAAAACACAAATCAAAAGCACAAGGAGATACCACTTCACACCCCACTAGGAGGTCTAGAATCAGACACATGGAAAACAAGGTGAGGGTGTGGAGAAATCCGAATCCTCATACAATGCTGGTGGGAATGTCAGGTGGTGCAGCCGCTCTGGAAGACAGTTTTGGCAGATCCTTGAAAAGTTAAAATTAGGATTGCCCAGCAATGGTGTGACCCAGCAATGCCATTCCTAGGTATATACCCAAGAAAGCCGAAAACATATGGAGCCACAACATACAATGTTCACAGCAACGTTATTTAGGATAGCCTAAAGATGGAAACAACCCAAACGATTATCAATGGATTAATAAACAAGATGTGCTATCCATACAACAGAATATTACTCAACCAGAACAAAGTGAAGTACTAATTAATGCTACAAGACGGGTGAGTCTCCAAAGCATTATGCTCAGTGAAACAAGCCAGACACAAAAAATATGGTATGATTTCATTTATATGAAATGTCCAGAGCAGCAAATCTATTCAGCTTAGTGCTGCCAGAGGTCTGGCAGAGGGGAGTTTGAGGGGTGACTGCTAACAGGTGCAGAGTTTTGTGGGGAAGGAAAGGTTAAGGCCAAAAAATGTCCCCAAATTAGAAAGTGATGGTTGTACACCCTTAATGCACTTAATAAAAAAACATCCAATCATACACTTCAAATGAGTGAATTGTATGGCATGTGAATTTATCTCCATAAAGCTGTTAAAAAACCATTACAGCAGGTTACAGAGTGTGAAACTATTTTAACACTCACAGATGCGTCTCAAGTTCGATGAATCAACTTAAAATCTCCATTATCTGGTTATTAGGAGTTGGGTATTTTTTTTTTAATGTTTATTTATTTTTGGGAGAGAGATGCAGAGTGCAAGCAGGGAAGGTCAGAGAGAAAGGGAGACACAGAATCTGAAGCAGACTTCAGGCTCCGAGCTGTCAGCACAGAGCCCGACACGGGGCTCAAACCCACAAACCGTGAGGTCATGCATGACCTGAGCTGAAGTCAGACGCTTACCCGACTGAGCCACCCAGGCACCGCTAGCCATATGTATTATTAATATACACTCTAAGATAACATTTTAAGTAAAAGAAGAAAGGTGTTTTGCAGTGTATAGCTTAGTGTGCTATGATATTTTAATAGAAAAAAGGGCTAAGGAAAATATGCCTATTTCCTCATACTCTTTAAGTATAATTATATAAGATACATGAATAATATGATATGCTCTCACATGCATGAACTATTGCTGGAAGAATACAGTGGTGGTCCCTGGGTAAGGGAACTGACATCGGGGACAGGGGACTCACTTCTTACTCTTTATCCCTTAGTATTATTACTTGTCACTTTTACCGTATGTATGCATTTTCTTAGTGGATTAAAAACACTTTCAACCAAACTCCAAGGGCCCCTTGGGAACGTACCCTCTGGAGTCGATGACTCCTTTCTGCGGCTGGATGGCGGGGCGAGCAGGCTCATGGCACTGGGCTGGTGCTCGGGCGACCGCACGATGGCGGACATGGCGATCTGCTGCCTCGCGGTGGCTGGCGTAGATGGGTGCGGGTGGTCTGTGGCCTTCCGGTGGGCAGCTGGAAAGAGACCAGTCCAATGCCTTCTGGTTAGCTGGGTCACCAAGAAGCCCAAACCAAGCGGACTGCCCCTGGGCGGTCTTTCAAGCCCCCGAGACCAAAAGGACACGCATCGTGCCAAATGGGCAATATCAAGGATGCTGTGAATTTTTCACACTTGGGACATCTGGACTGAGAGCTTATGGGCCAGAAACACAGATGCTGAACTAGTACAACCCATGTGCTTGAGGTGGGTTCTCTGCCTTTTCCAGAGACTTGGCGTAGAGAGTGCCCCTACCTTCCTCCCGGGCAGACCGGAGCTCGATGCGGGTCTTCTGAAGGGCTTCCTCTAGCTCTGCACAGCGAGCTTTCTCCTTCTCCAGAGCCACCTTCAGCTCATTGTACTGCAGAGGAACCTGTGTGGGCAAAGCAGGGTCCTCTTTCCGTCGACTAAATAAACCCTAGCAATGGAAACAGAGATATCTCCTAACTCCTGGAAACTGGCACTTTAGCTGAAGGAACTCTGACTCAAGAGGAGCAGACCATGAAAGCCAGGAGCATACTCACTGTAAGCGGATTTAGTAAAAATGGCATGTGAAGGGGGAAAGGGGAGACTGAACCACAGCCCGTTCCAGCCGGCTGGAAAAAAATAGGGTTTTGGAAATTTTCAACAAGAGGGCTCAAGATGCTTGCACGGCCACCACCCCTTCCTTCGGCATTCCCAAGGAGGAGAGCCATTTCCTGAGTCTTTACCCTCAAAAAATGGAAGTGGAGGATGGAGTCAGGACGGATGGTTCGGAAATCACTCTTGCCTTGAATTTGTCTCATGACGCTTAGTTACGAGACACACAGAGATGAGCATTTTTTAAAAAGGAGACAAAAAACTTGAATCCTAAAATGATGTCAAAACAAGGGGCTTACTCAAAAAAAAAAAAAAAAGCAAATGAAAAAATGAAAACGTGTACTGGACATGGCAGGAAAAAGGAAAACACAGGGAATCATGTGGCTGAAAAAAAAATTAACCACCAAAAATAAATGGAACACCCCGATCACATCATTAATACACCCACCAGAAACAATCATGTTAAAAATACAAAAAAGTTGCAATATCGAAGACAACAAGCACACATAGCTCACGGCGTAAAAAGAATGTCCTCCCCGCTGCCACCACCACTGAGGAGAGGCGCTGTTTCGCCCTCAATTATAAAGAGAGCTGGGACACGGTGCCAATCCGCCCGCCCAGCTTTCTTGCGGTGTTCCAGGTCACTGGGGGCTGCCACTGCTCCCCCAGGGTGGGAATGCTTTGGGAAGGAACGCAGGTCCTCTCAGAGACCTGTTCAGACTAAGAACACCCGGCCAAACCTCCTAAAAGGGCTCTGGTGGTTTAGGGAAGCAGGTCTTGTGTGGATCCAAAATCTGCATAGGTGCATCTGTGTATAACCCTCAACTATATTGGTTTTTCCCTCCTTTCCTCTTTTTTTTTTAATAAAGCTTATTTGTTTGTCTATTATCCTTCTAAAGGGATGGCGCAGCACCCTTGGAGTGGAGGGGTGTCACCTCACCTCCCTGGGTCCCCAGTCTCCTGCTAGGACTCTGCCGGTCAAAAGGACTGGGCTAGATGATTTCCAGTCTCTTCTGGAGTTCCGTATATGTGCTCTGAGAATCCTACTACAGAACTGAGAACCACTCTCTCTTTCTCCTGAGAACCACTCTCTCTTTCTCCTGAATCCCACACGCATGACCTATCTCTATAGCCCTGTACCTGTGACCTGCTAATCCCTCTGGAGTCTTGTACAATGACCTCTCTGGAAACCTTTCTCTCTGCTATTACCACCCACCTCCCAATCCAGCTGCTTATTAAAAAAAAAAAAAGAGGGAGAAAAAAAAAATCACTCCCTTAACAGAGACAGGCACTATAATTTTAAAGGCTATGAACACAAAGTAGTTTGTTACAGACTTGATAATGACATGCCTTCCTTAAGGACTATTCTGACGATCTCAAAACCTATTTTCAACCCAACATAAAACTAGAAAAATGTGCATTTTGTTTTCATGGATGTTTCTGTAATTATCTCTCACAACGGTTATTTCATGAATCATAAGGACTGAGAAAACCTCCCGACTTTTCTAACACTCGGACCCACCTTTTTCTTTTTAGCGGGCTGGTCCATTTTGGCTTGCAGAAAATCAATGAGTTTGGTTTGTTGAGAAATAGTACCTTCCATTTTCACTTTTTCATGAGAATAGAGAACCTAAAATTCATAAAAACAAAAAAAATAAGCTTGGCCCTAGAAAGAAGTATACTTGCAAATTTGGTACTTTAAACAAATAAAAAATAAAGTCATTAGGATAGTAGCAAATGAACATTCAACACAAACCACACTGCACCAATATTTACTTAGTCCTATTCTTACAGCCCAAAACAAACAAACAAACAAAAGGAAAGATACACGGACAGGTAGGTGAAAAAGTAAAACGAGCCAGGGGTTAATATTAGAATCTCGGGCATGATCATGATAGAAATTTTCCAACATCTCTGAATGTTTGGAAAGTTTCCCAATGAAATATTGGGGGAAACACACAATAACATACAATATAAAGATAGCGACCGTTTCCCCAGATGGCTTTTGGCCATCACGCTTTGCCTCTGCAGACAATCTTTAAGCCAATTCCCTCCGCTGGTTCTCACCTGAATGTTTTCCAGCTGGTACTCCAGATCGCTCCTTTCCGTCTTCAGCAGATCAGCCCGGTCTAGGGCTTCCTGCAGCCCTTGAGTCAGACGGAAGATGTGATTCTTCTGCAGATCCATCTGCTGCTGTAATTTGGCTTGCTAGTGGGGAGGAAGGCCAAGACAGAGTCTCGGTACCACGGAGAATACAGCTTGGTCCCCCACCGTTAGCTTGTTGCCAAACTAATTGCAGGCATGGCACCAGATTTGGCTTTTGAAATCATCTCCTTCCAGAATTACCGACGGTCTTCTGTTCCAAATTGGTGCATGGCACCGATAAGAAGAATTTGCCCAGAAATCTCTGATGGCCAGCAAGTCACGGGATCCCCACCGTAACAAGAAGTCCAGGCTGGTGGTCTGCCTTCCCAGTCAGAGTTACAATTAAGGACATTTGGGTACGTACGATATGGCCCATCTGAGGTGCCCTCTGAGATGCTGTGAATTACTGCCATGACAGCTAAGCTCCAATTTGTCCTTGGGGTTTTTTGGGGTTTTTTTTTTAAAAGATCTGTTTATTTTTGAGAGAGAGCACGCAAGTGAGGAAGGGGCAGAGAGAGAGGGGGACAGAAGATCCAAAGTGGGCTCTGTGCTGACAGCAGCAAGCCACACGCGGGGCTCAAACTCATGAGTCACAAGATCATGACCTGAGCCGAAGTTGGGCGCTCCACCAACCGAGTCAACCAGGTGCCCCCTTAGGCTTAAGATCTCAGTTGCTACTGTGAGAAATCCCTTTGTTTAGGCAGCGTGGATGCACAAAGGGGAATCATATCAGCTCTAACTTGAAGAGCACCTCGTTAGGGTGAGAGACCCCAGCAAGTACACAAACAGCCACAATCACAGGAGATACTTCTGCAGTGTGGGGAGGAAGGAAGAGGAAGATCCCAGACTCAGCACAAGAGTCTATAAGACCCAAGGGGGGAAAAAAATCAATTTAGTGTTTTGGAAATAGTTTTGTGCTCAAAATCTCTCTCCAATTTTTACAATGAAAGTCAACCAGAAAATAAGGCAGGCTCTAAAGATACTGGTTTTATGACTCTCTTTCCTAAAACTCTTCTGTTTATAAAAAAGCAGGAAAGAGCAGGTATCCTGATGACACACTGCCTGATGTCATCTGACCCCTGGGTGACAATCCAACTGCCCTGTGGTTGGCCCGAACACCCCCATGCCTGGTGGCCTAGACTCTCTGCAGACTCAAGCAGAGAGCTCCTAAAGAGCAGTAAACATCACCACGGGCATTTTCTAACAGGCGACGGCAAATCTCTGCGCTCTCAGCCCCAGAAGGCCAAGGGCCACGGACAAACTCAGAACTGGCTGACCCTCTCCCTCTCATTTTACTTCCCTCCACCTGTGTTTTGGTTCTCTCTCCATCTCTCCTCCTCGCCGGCCCTTCCTCTTGAGGGGAAGTGGATTCCTTGGGGCATCATGGCATGGTGGAACGAACCTGGGCTTTGGAATGCTAGGGACCCTACCACAAATGCTGACTTTAACACACATCAGTCACAGGACCAGGGGAAGCTCATATTGCCTCTAGAAGCTCTGGCATCTTCATCTGAAAGTGGGTATAACACCTCCCCTGACTGGGTGACATACTCAGTGCCACCATGCCCGGCATACCCCAGATGTTCAAGGAATTCTCGTAATCTCTCTCCCTCCTTTGTCCTCTTTCCTTCCCTCCATCCAGTTTGGGCTTCCCCCTCACTTCCCCATCTGCCTTCCCCGTGCCAGCCTCCTCCACCAGCCTCCCCCATCAGTCCTTCATAAAGCAAGAGATACTGTCAGCAGCCAGAGATCACCTGGCCTGTGTGCCAACTTAGAATTTATGAATCAAACCAGAACCCCTAAAATGCAGGGGGGATGGGACGCGGGGGGACAGCTAAGATTACCTCTTAAAGGGAACTATGAGTCCCTTACAGTGCAAGTGATTTCCACAAATTACCCTCTTTAGTTTCTTCCCACTATTTTAGGACAACATTAATTACTACGCAGGAAGCAGAGAAACAGGAGCCGGGGACAAAAATTGGTTTGGTGACAGCCAGGCCCAAAATATTTCTCTAGAATAAACACATCAACTGTCCGTGAGCTTTCCAAGAAACAGACTGCTTATTTACTATAATAAAAAACAAGAGTGACAGGTTGCTCAGTGGAATGTTTTTCAAAGCCATTTACTTGCTTCCCAGAGAGAGGAAAATGGGGGCTATTCATGGGTCAGTGCTGGACTGGATGCAGGGCGTTGGACCTGTCCAACAATTCCGCCAGGTGACAGGAGACCGGGAGGGTGCATGAGGGAGCTGGATCAGAGAACCAGAGCACCAAACAACCGCAGTGGTTGAAAGGATGGATCAAAACCGAGAAAAAGTTCAAAAGGACAGTGTTCTTTGAAAACACTGACTGATAAACGCCAGAATATAAAGATGTTTACTCAAAAAATGCAAGCTTACAGAAGGGTTGGTGGCGATGTCACAGGTCAGTGGGTGTCAGTGGTGTGATAAAGCTATCCAAAGAGCCCAGGGTAACTGGCAGAGGCTTACAGAGCCCAGAATGGAGCTGGAGATATCCCACTGGACCCCATGTTGCTCATACCCTGTGGACTTTTAGAAACTCTCTTTGGAAAGATAAATCTACCAGAAAAGAACATCTCAAACTTGGAGGGACTTGAAATGTTTCAATTAGGTAAGAGAAGGTGGTCTGGCGTGGGGGAGCTACTCAGATATCTAACTGTCTGTCACAGAGATAATAAATGTAGCTCTCTCCTAGAACTATCGCAAGGACTGTATGAGCCAAAGCATGAAAAGGGCACTTGGCGTATAGCAATTGCTACTTAAACATTAGTTTTTTGGAGGCATCTGGGTGGCTCAGTCAGTTAAGTGTCCAGCTCTTGATTTCAGCTCAGGTCATGATCTCACAGTTCAGGAGTTCAAGCCCTGTGTTGGGCTCTGGGCAGACAGCACAGAGTCAGCTTCGGATTCTCTCCCTCTCTCTCTGCCCCTCCTCTGCTTGTACTCTCTCTCTCTCCCTCAAAAATATGTAAACATTTAAACATTATTTTTTTATTAATCAAGTAATTTGATTATTATTTGGTATTACCCTCCTATTTTAGGTGGAAATGCCAGACTCAAATGTTTCAATGAAACAGAACCAGTGGTTGGAAGTTATAGGCTTTAGTTCAAAATAAGACAGAACTTTCTAAGAATTAAAGTTGTTGAAAAAATGGGTCAGGATGTCCAAAGGCACGTGCACTCAGGCAGAGGTTCAACCAGGCCCACCAGTGAGGAATGTTGGGGAAGGGATTCTCTGCCTTGGACAGGAGGTTAATTTGACCAGGATTAGCAAATGGACTTTCACCTCTGGCATTACCTCTGACAGCCTGATAGTAGCTATTGAATGTCATGTCAAAAGAAGTTTCTGAAGCCATTTTGGGTCCAGGAGGATATCTGGGAGAAAGATCCATTAGCAAAGTCTGCCAGGGCCAGGGATGAAGGGAGCAATGGAACAAGGGCTGGAAATTTGGGTTCTGTGACATTAAAAAAAAACAAACAAAAAAAAAAACACAACTTCTTTCCAACCCTGAGACTGTGATTCTGGCCCCACTTACAAGTCTCTATACCTAATGAAGAGCATATGGTTAACTTAAGAAGACGACAAACAAGCAAAGACAAAAAAGAGAGAGACAAACCATGAAACAGACTATTTAAGTATGGAAGACAAACTGATGGTAACTAGAGGGGAGGTAACTGAGGGGATGGGAGAAATAGGGGATGGGGATTAAAGAGTACACATATCACAATTTAAAAAAAGACATGCTAGGAGCACCTGGGTGGCTCAGTCAGTTGAGCGTACAACTTCAGTTCAGGTCATGATCTCACAGCTCATGAGTTCAAGCCCCGCATTGGGCTCTGTGCTGACAGCTCAGAGCCTGGAGCCTGCTTCAGATTCTGTCTTCCTCTCTCTCTGCCCCTCCCCTGCTCATGCTTTGTGTCTATCTCAAAAATAAATAAAAACGTCAAATAAAAATTAAAAAAAAGACATGTTTTAACATATCTTGAAATCAAGACATGACATCTAGACACATAGATAGCTTTTTGACAAAGGTGTCAAGAAAATGTAGTGAGGAAAAGAGAGTCTTCTCAACAGATGGTACTGGAGTAACAGAATAGCTCTATGGAAAAAAGTGAACCTCTGCTCTCCTGCCATACGTAAACATTAACTCGAAAGACATCCTAGACCTACAAATAAAAGCTAAAACTAGAAAACTTCTAGGAGAAAACAGAAAATACTATCTTTGAATTTAGGATAAGCATAATTTTCTTTTTTTATAGATATAATTTATTGTCAAAGTGGTTTCCATACAACACCCAGTGCTCATCCCAACAGGTGCCCTCCTCAATGCCCATCACCCACTTTCCCATCCCCCCCACCCCCCATCAACCCTCAGTTTGTTCTCAGTATCCAAGAGCCTCTTATGGTTTGCCTCCCTCCCTCTCTGTAACTTTTTCTTTTCCCCTTCCCCTCCCCCATGGTCTTCTGTTAAGTTTCTCAAGATCCACATATGAGTTAAAACATACGGTATCTTTCTCTGACTGACTTATTTCACTTAACACAATACCCTCCAGTTCCATCCACGTTGCTGCAAATGGCCAGATTTCATTCTTTCTCATTGCCAAGTAGTATTCCATTGTATATATAAACCACATCTCCTTTATCCATTCATCAGTTGATGGACATTTAGGCTCTTTCCATAATTTGGCTATTGTTTAAAGTGCTGCTATAAACATTGGGGGTACATGTGCCCCTATGCATCAGCACTCCTGTATCCCTTGGGTAAATTCCTAGCAGAAGCATAGTTTTCTTAAATAGGACACAGAAAACATAATCCATTTTAAAAACTGATAAATTTAACTTCCCCAAAATTAAGAGCATTTGCTCTTTGAAAGATACTGTTTGAAAAGACAAGGCAAGCTATAGAGTGGGTGAAAGATTCACCATCCATACATCTGGCAAAGGGTTATTATCAAGAATTCTTTAAAAATTTTCCTCGGAGGGTGGGGGAGTATCTGGGCAGCTTAGTTGGTTGATCCAGAGCTTCTGACTCTTGATTTCAGCTCAGGTTGTGATCCAGCAGCATGGGATAGAGCCCAGTGCTAGGCTCTGCACTAAATGTGGAGCCTGCTTAAGATTCTCTCTGTCTCTCTCTCTCTCTGCCCTTCTCCCCTGCAGGCATATGTGTTCACTCTCTCTCCCATTAAAAAAAACAAAAAACAACTTTACTTGGAAGTAACTACCCAAAAGATTTGAATTTACACTTCCCAAAAGAAGATATATGAATGACAAATATATGGAAAGATGTTTATCATCACTCATTAAAGAAACGTAAATTAAAACCACAATGTGATACTGTAATATATGCACTAGAAAGGCAAAACAATACTAAGTGTTATGGGGTCAGAACCGCCACACGAAGACTTGGACACAATTTTTCATAGATTTATGTATAATAACTAAAAAAATGGCAACTATTCAAAGGTTCATTAACAGGTGAATGGATAAATGATGGTATACCCATACAATGAATTACAGCTTAGCAATAAAAAGCAGTGAACGGCTAATACATTCATCAACATCAATAAATCACATAAGCATGTTCAACTAAACTAAAGAATCCAGATACAAGAGTATACAGAGTATAACTCCACTTCTATGAGATTCTAGGAAAAAAACAAAAACAAAACAAAAACAAAAAAACTATCTATAGTGACAAAAAGCAAGTCACCGGGTACCTGGGGCCAGACCCGGAAGGTATGGACTAGAAGGGGGATGAGGAACTTTTTTAGATGATGAAAATGTTTTATATTTTCATTGCAGTGAGGATTAACCAGGCATTTACATTAAAACAATTATATATATAATTATATGTATGTATATATAGAGAGAGCAAACTTAGGTTAAGCCCTTGGTCACATGCTTACAAAGTGCACACCACGACCAGGGATCCTAGCCACATTCTGGACAATAAATATCATTCTTTGTTTCATAATGGTTTCAAGTGTCAGTAAAATCTGCCTCAAACTCAGTGTCAGCCAGATGTCTGTGCTCAGAAATCTATCTGTGAGGTACAGACTGGGAAGCTGGAAATGTTCTCATGTCGTTTACAAGTGAGAAAGAGGGGACTGAATCAGGATCCCGGCATGCTATTCCAAGCCTTGTCACTGACTCACCATGTAACCTTGGACCAAAGTATTGAGCTGTCAGAGCCAGCTCTCCTTCCTCGGAAGGAAAATAGGACAGGCGAGATCATTGATTATTTCTGTTCTGTTTCCAACATATGCCTAAAGCAGGGACATTGCCTATTCATTCCAGATAAAAGACCATCATTCTCTACTTGACCACCAGGTAGATTTTTAAATTTGTATTATAGTGTTCTTAATGCTGCCTTTGGTGAGCCTTCCACTCAGGATATATTGAGATATAACTAATTTTATTTTAAAAACCTTTATTGCGGTACAATACACATAAAATTTACCATTTTAACCATTTGTAACTGTATAGTTCAGTGGCACTAAGGACATTCACGTTGTTATGCAACCCTTGCCAGCATCCGCCTCCAGACCTCTCCCAAACTCCCACCCATGTTTTTTAAAGTATCATTCTGTAAGGTATTTTATTCTCACCTGCACAATTTTCACCACATTTTCCCAAGTTGATAGTTTAGCAATATTATTTCTCTCAGCACAGTCCCTTGAGAGGTCTATAATAAAACCTCAACTAATGAGAACAGGTAATCTGGTTAACTGAACTATCTGGCTCACTATGGGTTAAACAAAACCATCTTGGAATCTCATTTCTCATTAAATATCTTTACAAAGCATGTATGTCCTGGTTGGTCAATTCTAATGAACAAAACAGAGTCGTCAGTGATCCAACATATAGGGCTTTGGTTGGGATCAGGACATCGTCAGCAACTTAAATAGACATTTTCAGAATTCTGTTAAAAGGTCCAGGAAATAATGTAAGGGATGGGTTCAGAAGATCAATTTGAGCTTTTCATTCTATGTCTCAAAGGCAGGACATAAATTTTTTTTTTTTAATGGAGTTAAATGAATGTTCAAAAGTCTTCAGGAAATTTGGCACTCAACACAATCTGGTCAAGTCTCTGCCCTGTGCATGAAGCTAATTTGCATGGATGTTCTACCAGCCTGAAAACTTAATATACTTTAGATATTAACTCTAAAAGGACAATTTAACTCAATATTCAGTCACCTGTATATTTAATAAGCTTCCATTGGGCACATACTCTTCTGTGCTCTATGTTCTATTAAGCACTATGTGGGAGGACACAAGTGACAAAGACCGTCTAGCCTTTGTGACACATTCTTTGAGCCTGTTAAATACCTTCAAAAAGGTATTAAGTGACCACCTTACTTCTCCTTGAAAATTCCAACTTCAAAGATTGAACATCTAATATGGATCTGACCATCTAAACACAACAAATTTTCATCTTCAAAAGTCCACCTGGCTCCATTTCCCAGGTGTTTCACACTCACCTCTTCCAGAAGCCTCTGTTTGAGCTCCCGTTCAGTCTCCAGTTTCTGCTGTAAACTTCGGGCGTTCATTTCAAGCATGGCATGTTTCTTCTCCAGATCATTGAGCTGGGCATTTGGAAAAATTGGCCATGAGATCATATTTAGAAATGCTAGATGCTAATGACTTTTGAAGATTTCCATAAAGCTTCACATGTAAAGAATCAAGTTCTGAAGATCAGAATATAAATGTTGTTTTCTAAAAGTATAGTATCACAAAGGTCCATGTTGCAGATAAGCCTTGTACAGGGATGGGATTATTGCTAAGGGATGCATAAATAACTATGACAAGTTCGAGGACAAGGATGATCACCTTGGCTGAATTTAATTAAACTATCAAATGCTGAATACTTACTATTGCACAGCATCATATCGGGCTCTTGTGATGAAAGAATGGACAAAGTCTCTCAAGAATCCTACAAAAAGTCACAAAGTGGGAGACTGACCATAACTAGACCTAGACACAATGACTGCTTTGTCACATGATATTTTCAGTAAGAGAGGTATGCAGAAGAATTATTCTTCCTGAATTACAGTCATCAAGAAAAGACTGTATTGGGGCGCCTGGGTGGCTCAGTCGGTTGAGCATCCGACTTTGGCTCAGGTCATGATCTCGCAGTTCGTGAATTCGAGCCGTGCGTCAGGCTCTGTGCTGACAGCTCAGAGTCTGGAGCCTGCTTCAGATTCTGTGTCTCCCTCTCTCTCTGCCCCTTCCCTGCTCATGCTCTGTCTCTGTGTCTCAAAAATGAATAAACATTAAAAAAATTAAAAAAAAAAAAAAAAGAAAAGATTGTATTGGGGCATCTGGGTGGCTCAGTCAGTTAGGCATACAACTTTGGCTCAGGTCATGATCTCACGGTTCATGAGTTCGAGCCCTGCATCAGGCTCTGTGCTGACAGCTCGGAGCCTTGAGCCTGCTTCAGATTCTGTGTCTCCCTCTCTCTCTCTGCCCCTCCCGCACTCGCAGTCTCTGTCTCTCTCTCTCTCAAAAATAAATAACATTAAAAAAAATTTTTTTAATAATAAAAGAAAAGATCATATCAATGTCTGGGGTCATAAAGGATGGGTAAACTTTGCTACAGAGTCCTCTAGGAACAGTAAAATAGAAAAAAATATTCAAGTTAAACACAAAAAGGTTCATTTACCGCTAAATACTACATTTTGTTTCCTCACGGGTTAAAAAAAAAAGTAAGCCAGTATCGAGGAACTCCAGAGTGTTCCTGAGGGGCAAGCTCTAGCCTTGAATCCAATCATTTTATTTCTATGAAATTTTATTTCTATAAGAAAATAATCATGGATATCCACAAAGTTTATGTTCATTATAGTGTTATGTATAATGGCAAAAAGCTGAAAGAAGCTCAAAGTTCCCACACAAGTGGAATGATTTAAAAAGGTATCTTTGTCAAAAAATCTATACACTGAAAACTATAGAAAGCTTATGAAAGAAATTGAAGAAGGCACAAAAAAATGAAAAAAGATTCCATGCTCCTGGACAGGAAGAACAAATATTGTTAAAATGTTGATACTACCCAAAGCAATCTACATATTCAATGCAACCCCTATCAAAATAACACCAGCATTCTTCACAGAGCTAGAACAAACAATCCTAAAACCTGTGTGG